CCTCTCATCCACGTTCAAATCATGTGAAGGCCAAGGAAACTGATCCCTCACACAGGCCGTATGGGGGTGGGATGGGGGGTAGGGGGAGAGAGAACACAAGGACTATAAGGCATAAACCACAGAGGGAAATTTTGAATGGGACCCTGAGATAGCAGGGGGTGGTGGAGGAGCAAGAGGCTGCCAGCAGGCCATTCAGAGCTGCTCCTCCCAGCCCCAGGCATTCGCGAGCCAATGTAAAGACCCTTTTCATAAAAGGCTGCCTAGCTGTAGTGTTTACTTAAGGATAAGACGACCCAACTTCCACTATATTTAGTGCATGAAAATCTGCAGGTGTTTGACTCCAAGAACTGCTTCAGTTTTTGCTATTAGTTTTCTAAGTCCCCTCCCTTCTCGGTTTCATTGTTCCGTAGCTGTGGGTGAGCGGGTTTCCTGACTTCTGCAAAAGTCCTCCCCATACCCCGCCCTCCTCTCCAGCCTGCAGGGAGTTTAAACATATGGCTTCTTGTTTAAGAAAACTAAGGATGCTCTTTCAATGTCCATTGCAATTTAAAACTTTACGCCAACCACAGTCCACTATAGGCACCCTACTTAATCAGTTGGCTTGATTTTTGTTTCTAGTTAACTTAATCAGTTGCTTTGGCCTCTATTTAACACTTTGTTTACTAACAAAAGGCTTGGGAAGGGTGCTCATTCCTCTTCAAAGTCTCATGTCAGAATAATGGCAGGATATCGGCTCTCCTGTGCCTCTTCCGTGGAGCCCTGGTGGCACAGTGGTTAAGAGCTCGGCTGCTAACTGAAAGGTCGGTAGTTAGAGCCACTCTGTGGGAGAAAGCTGTGGCAGTCTGATTCTGTAAAGATTACAGCCTTGGAAACCCTATAGGGCAGTTCTACACTGTCCTATGGGGTTGCAATTAGTTGGAATCGACTTGATGGCAACGAGTATGGGTACTTCTTTCATGTGCCACTGCGCAAAATACAGGATAAAGGCAAAATGGGATACCATAGAGCAGCTAAAAGCTTGAGCCTCCAAGTCAGACACCCCATAGCCAGGTCCCGGCTCTGCCACTTACCAGCTGTGTGATGTTTTCGTTTCCTCACCTTTAAACGTAAACATCCTATCTCAGAGTTGTTGGAACATTAAATGCTGATGCTTAGCATAGGGTCTCAGAATCAACTTGATGGCAACTGACAAAAAGGCATGGGGCCTGGCAGTGGTGAGTAGTCCTCAAGCATGCTAGCAAGCTCGCAGGAAGTTCCCCCCACACCTGATTCACAAAGGGAGGGTTGTCTGAGAAAAGCTGCTGGCCTGTCCTACAAATTCCTTTCCTGTAGAAATGGAAGCGGATCTATTACCAGGCAACTCAACACCTCTTAGGCCTTCTCTAGGGGGGCTGGCATAGCAATTAACATTTGCCCGATGATTTATGGTTTACAGAGTGCCTTCAGGGTTATAACAGTGGAAAGAACAGGGCCTTGGAGTCAGGAGATCTTTGTGCACAGGCTCTGCCTCCTAGTACTCTTAGTACTAGTACTCCATAACTCTTGCAATCTTGGGCAATTCAGAAGTGCTGAGCCTCTGGCTCCTGGTCTGTATAACGGGAACATTGCTACCCACCTACCACAAGCTAATGTATAATGGAATGTGAACTTGGGAATTGTCATCCCATTTTCTCATGGCTTTAATTTCCAACAGACTCCTTGAGCAAAGGCTTATACACCATCCCTATTGAAGGAATGGATGAAAATTGTTAAGAAGAGTCTGGGCAAAAAGTCACTGTCACGCTGCTTGTCTCCTTATCTCTCCCTTCACACACACACACACTGTCACATGCACTCCAGCATTGGACATCTCTTTCCCAGGTATCTGAAAGGCAGGTGACTGTTGGATCTCATATCTTCCCCTAGAATATTTTTTAAGAAACTTCCTACAGTAAAAAGCACCACCTGGGTGATGACCTGCTTTGATAAAAGCCCTGAGGTTGAGAGACCTACAAAGAGTCCTGTGATCCAGTCACGACCAGAACAGGTAGGCCAGATTGCTCTGAGCCAGGTAAGGAGGTAAGGAATGGTAGGAGACCCAGCCTCCAAATATGGCCCAGCTTATCTCCAAACACCTGGATTTTTGGCAGCACTCACAGATATCTGATTAAGATAGGGAGACCAGTCAAGAGGCTAAAAGGTATATGGTACACTGCTGCCAGGGCAGTACATTATTCTAGGTAACATTCACCCCCAGAGGAGGGACATGGCCCTGTGGTACAGGAGAAAGCACTGGGCCAGGAGGCACTCTTGTCCCAGCTCTGTTGCTTTCACCTGGGGCAGGGGGGAGTCATGTGACCTTACCAATGCCCCCTCAGCTTAAAGGGGGCAGTGGACCAGACACTCACCACCACGCTATCCAGCTTACTACATCCCACTATGGGGTCTACCCTTGACTTGCTTTCCATTCCATCTGCCGTAAGGTGTGTAAGAAGCTGAAAGAAAGAGGAAGAAGTAACACACCAAGGTAAGGTAGTAGAGTGGTACCATCACACTGAAGCTTCATCCTTTGTTTCTTCCCAGAGGTTATCTGATAAACTCAGGTTCTGTAAATGCTCTCTGCATCTTCCAGATTATCAATCCCAAATTACAACCAAGGATGTACTGTGTACATTTCCCAGTAGTGTAAAAATGGACTTCTGGAATCCCAGAGATACTAGGTGGCAACCAGAGTGTCACTTCCATGCTGAGGAATTAACACTAGGAGACAACACGAGGGAAGTCCTGCTAAAACACCAGAAGGGTAAAGCTGTTGGAGGATTTGAGTGGGTGGGTAGTTGGGAAGACATCTGCAGTCTTGGTGAGTATCAACCTTGTTTAGAAGGTCAAGAGTTTGTGATCAACAGCATTTCAGTGCCCCGGTCATGACTTCTCATTCCAGGGAATGAGCACCACTTCCCACACAATTTGTTCTGCATGTAATATTGGTCTGGACAATGCCTGGGACTAAAATGTTTCCTGGCACCAGAGTGAGGCATTACAACACATCCAGGTAAATATCCAGAATTCAGCCCCTAGTTGTTAATGAACTGAGTCCAAGTCCTCCAGGGATAAAAGAAAACACTGAGTTCAGTACTTGAAGCACTGTGCCAGTTACGTGGGAGGCAGGCAAAGGAAAAGAAAACATACAGGTGCTCACAATGTAGCAGAAAAAGGCAGGTGTAAGTACACTGATAGAAACAACAGGAAGAGGGAGGTGGCAGGTACAGCTGCCTAGGAAGCCAGGGAAAATGAGAGAAGGGGTGACATTATAGCTGGGTATTTAAAAGGTCACTGCATGGTGGGGGTGCATGGAAGGAATCACATGCTCAAGATGTGGAAATAAGCCAGCTTGGCAGAAACTGCTAAGAGGCTAGAAAAGTAGACTGGAGCAAGCTGTGAACAACTCCAAACATCACGTTGAGTCTGACATCTACCCCTGCATAAGGTCTTAAGCAGGTTTTAATGTGAGGGGCACAGATACATCTGTTTTAGAAAGCGCCCTTGGATGAGTCAAGAAAGATGGAGACAAGTGACAAGACTGAGGATATAGTTAGAGCAAGAGCTGAAGGCTACACTAAGCTAGAATCAAGAACAGTTCAGAAGGTCCACGTGGTACAAATGAGGAAAAGGATCCTGGAGATGGCTCACAGGCATGATGATACCGTCAAATTGCTTTTGACTGGTCCCAATTCTTGTAACGGGAGAGAGAAGTCATTCCAACATTCATGAGCAGCTCTAGATCCAGACAAAGTCTAGTCAATGTGAGGAGGAGGCTAGACTGGAGGTAAACTATCAGGCTAAAGAGGCTACTTACATGGACATTGACAATGCTAGGACAAAGGGAGGAGGGAAGATGCAGAATGGATGGTGTGAGGTGGCGGTCAGGGCTTCAGAAGAAATGCTTACTGTTTTGAATAAATGCTACAAGGAAGTGACCTGGAAGGGCTCACACCTACAGGACTCCAGAGAATGCTCATCCTCAGACAAGAAGGTTTAAGGATCAGACAGGTTGAAGGCAAGGGGGTGAAAGATTCTACACAATGAAAGATAAGTTTCTTGACAATAGTTGGTACCATAGGAATTAAAGAAATTCAGCACAGAGAGAGGTCATGGAAGGGGTGGGGCTGAGTCAGCATGAGGGCAGAGAGATGAGGGCTTAGAAACGCTTGTAAATTGAGTACTAACGGTGTACCTGTGACATTTTTCACACATGAATAAAGCAGGTGGTGGGAGAATAAAGCCAATAGGCTGGGGGCGGGCAGGGGCTGTGAACTGGATCAAAGGAATCAGAAGAAACTGGTCACCATGCAAGGTCCACAGTATTTCTTTATACCCTTGAAACATCAACTATTCAAATATCACTAGCTCACTTTTATAATTCTTTAAAAATGTGAAGAAACTATGATAGGAGTTGTATATAGTATAGTTGGAGTTATTTTGGTTCCCTTATCGAAATGGGTTTGGGGCCAAAGTCAAGCTCATGAGAACCTGGCCTTTAGTACTGAATGAGGCAACCCATTGCTGTCGAGTCTGACTCATAGCAACCCTATAGGACAGAGTAGAACTGCCCAATAGGGTTTTCAAGGTGGATTCAAACTGCTGACATTTTGGTTAGCAGCAAAGCTCTTATCTACCATGCCACTGGGGCTCCTGAATCAGACAAGGTGCCAGTTAAGACAGATCAAGTAGAGAATACAACACCTACCATTAAGTATCAGCCACTAGGTTGGGATCAAGAACAGTTCGGTTTAAATTACTCAAGAACCCTGCAGAAGATTCCAAATATTAAGAGAATTATGGCCCCCATTGTAACTACACACAACTTCTCATCCCCAGCCCAGAGAAATCACAGTATTTCAGAGAAGCATCTGATGTTGATAATGCTGACAACTGTTCACCACCATTCAACATGTTTCCTGTAACCTAGAACAAGTTTACCATTGAGGATAAACAAAAGGAAATGGCCATAACTGACAAGATGTTTTTTTAAACATGTTTTATTTCTCAAATTCAAAGCTTTTATTTCATCAAGTTCTAACACATTTTGCCCTGACAAATGATTTCACTGGCATCAAGTAAGAAGGTTAGTGACCACTGACAAAGAGGAACCCCCACACATCTTAGGCACTGCTAAGAAATTAATATACACAAATATAGAGTGATGAAAATGTTTCCAATTTAGTCTAATGGGTGTCTTGCTCTTCATCTATTTAATTTGGAAACCAATAGCTTCTTTAGAAAATTAAGTAGAGTTTTATATATTAAAAAAAAAAAAAAAACTTGAATTTCTAAAAAATTTAAAAAGCCCACAGATCCCTATTTTTTTAACTACTTCCTCTTTAGTGGATGATCTTCACACCTTCCTAGGCAAACACACGAGGATTTGCATCAACTCACAATAGCCCAGGCAAAACTCCAAGCATTTTCTTCAGCTTACACTTAAACTATTTTTCTTAAAGTGATAGGTAAACGAGATTTAGGCACTTGAACGCACAAAATAGCCCTTTTCCTTCCTGATCCTCATCTTACAAGTTTTCACAAATAATTCTGAAAAGTAGTTTTTCTGTTTTTGTTTTTTTTAGTACCTCCCCCTACACATCTCCCTTGGTCCTCTGAATTTAATTGGTTGAATTGGGATATGTTCCAACGCCAGCTGTGACATTTTCGTCTCTGCCAGGTTAAAGATACGAATCTAACCTTCGAAACTTGAAGTTCTCTCAACTTACACAATCCACCCAAAGGACTGTCCCTAGTTCAGAGCCGTAGATGGACACCCAGGAAGTAACGGCCCGAGTGAGTGTATAAGGGTTTCTTTTTTAACAACTGGATAACTATAATTCACTCTGTAGAAGAGGACGTTCGAGCTAAGAATCTAGTTGCATCCTAAAACAAGGCACCAGGACCAGAAAGTTAACTAGAAAGGAGTTATTCCTAAGGCTAGGAAGTTGCTTTAGAGTGTCACCATTTCCCCAAAGTTAACAAGGCAGTACTAGTTAAAATCCTAACCTACCATGAAGGTAAGGGGTTAGTGCTAGAGTGGAAGTTTAAGGACAGAGTCAGAACTTTAGCAATCTGATTATCAATGTACCACCATCAAACTCAGGTTCATACACAGCTTTCTGTGACTCAAATCCCCAGGGAAAAACCAAACTGGGGGTGGGTGGGAGGGGACTTGAATGCCAAACCACATCTGTACCATACACATGAACCAGCATCTACCCAACTCTCCCCCATCCACCAGGTCCTCCCAGGTTGGGCCATGTCCCATCCCATGTGTAGTCAGTAAGCAAGAACTCTAATATGAAGGTGTTGGTGATACAGAGCTTAGCTTCAAAACTTGAAGTTGTGAGTGAGGAACAGTGTCTTACTGCCAAGATAAGATTTAAGGGTGGGACTGAAGTTCAAGCCCAGGAATTCAGTGTGTGCCCTTCTGCCGACACAAGGGAAAACGGTGCCATTTTAATCTCACTACTCTTCAACCTGATTCCCGGAAGCAGGCTGGGATAACAGGCTGCATACTTGTAAAAAGCATCAAAAAACTGTGCAGAGTCCTGAAGTAAATGAGAGACTGCTTAAATTTAGATTAGAACTTGCACTTAAACTTCAGTCCCCTCTGGCACTGCCAAGTTTCATGTTATTCAACACACACAAAAGGGGAATCACTGGACTCAGTACAAGTTCAGAGTACCCTGGTGCTTCTGTGAGAAGCATGAAAGGCAAGTTTCAGCTGGAATTCCCAGATACCTGAACTTCAAGTTACCTGGTCTATTCTGAGGCTGGAAAAAGGCAGTTGGTGGAGACCACTAGAGAAGGGGTTATGTTTTGAAAGTGTGGCTTTGGCTAGTGCAATGGTGTCTGAGCTGTAGGCAGCCTTTTACCCAATGGTTCTAGAGCACATGTCTACTCTCAAACTACAAAAATAGTTGGGCTGAATAAAACCTCAGGTGAACAGACTCTACCAAGACTGTTACCAAGTCCCATTATGGTAGGGTAGCCATCCTGCAGTGGTGGTAAGGAATTGGGGGGCTGGAAATTTCTTGCAATTTCTGTCTCCTTTGACAAGGACTATGACCAGATAGGGAAAAAATATATAAGTAGAAACAACTTCAAGGACAAACCAGAAATTTAATTACTTGATGCAGTTCTGATCTTATCTTCATCTGGTGCTTCATTACCCTGATCCCCAAGCCTTCTAAGTAGAAGCAATACTGATTTCTGTAAGAAGCTAGCAAGTGCTTATGTTGACGGCTTCATCACATTTCAAAGCTTTGGTTAAACAAATCTGCCAAGATCTGTCATTTTTTTGTGCAAACATGTTGCCATTTGGCCACAATGGCAGCTTTTTTTAAGGTCATGGATGACCAGGTAGTTTTGAATTTGGCATTCACTCTTCACTGGAATTCACTCCCCCACTGAACACTGAAACACCCCGGGTCTCCTCACAATGCAGAGCTGGCCTTGCCTCAAAGCCAGTGAATTCAAACATAACTAAGACTCACAAGGACACAGGAGCTGGCTATACTAACAAGTGGCTTCTATTTAGCTCAAGTCACGCCAACATGGATACCAGCCAAGTCTTGGATTTTAGTCACTTCTGATCAGCTTTCATTAAAGAGGATCAAGACATCACATTCCAGAAGAAACCTAAACATGTATCTTTAGAAAAAAAAAGTAAATCACTCATTTTCTACTAAGCATTTCTGCATTAAGATAACTTCATTGCTTAAAGCAAGGAGAAAGCAACCAGTGGGGTTTGGGATTTTTATGGCCAAAGAAGAAAGTCAAAATCAGAAGCATGGATTTGATTAAAATAACTTTAAAAATCAAGCTGGCAATATTAAATGTCTTTGCCCTTGACACCCTAAAGTTATGCTTTCTAAGAGATCCCACAAAACGTGTCAACACACAAAATCCCTTATCTAAGTGTATTGGGAAAAACAATAGTAGCCTAGATCTCTCCCACTTAACTAAGCTTGCTTTAGACTAGAGAAACATTGCTTTCCTTCAAAAGGACACAATGAGCAAGCACAGTCAAATCTACCAGAATAAGGAAGATTATCCAGTCACTCAGTTCTTCCCAGATACGCCAGAATGAATTATTCCAAAGTGCGTTGGTTGCTCTGCTGCACACAAGAGCAGACTTAATGCTATACCTTCACCTTCACACGCAGCTCAGAGGCAGCAGGTTAGCAATTTTAAGCCAAAGAACTCTGCCCACAAAACAAGATCATTCCACTTGTTATCCGGGTCTGCTGAAATTCCAGAATTCATTTGCTGTCAGAAAAAAACCTGGGGGCGGGGGAGCGGGGTCATATTTTTCGTTAAAAAAAAAAGCTCGTCATACTTGGAATGTGACCGAAGTGGATTTCCAATTAAAACATGGGAAGACCTTCATGTCAGTTACTATAGTGACTCCAGACTCAGCACAACCCTTGAGCAAAAACAAAAGTCAGCCGTGAAAAGAGCTGATGAAGGGGGAAAAGAAAGTCATACGATAAGAATTCCTCACTCATAAAGAAAAAAAAAAAATTGAACATTCATGTTTTCTATTTACAAGCACCCCTCCACCACCAAAATTCTACTTTAACATTAGGTTCCACATTTTATTTTGCTTTCAAGTTACATTTCAGGAAACTTAGGTCATTTTTTATTCTCAGCAATTTCACACTATTCCTTGTGACAGCACAGCATCTAAACCATAAACCACTTCTAACCAGATCTCAATTCTCCAGCTACTGGCTATGGTTAAGGAAACCCTCAGCTCTGCTGATGGGATAAACATAAGTCCCTTGACAAAAAATAAATCACTAGTGCACCCTCATGCTTACCATTTTCTGCCTGATTGAAATTGATACAAGAAAACAGACTATCAGCGCAACTTTTGTGTAACTGCCGAGAATCCCAAGGGATGGACAACACAGCTGACTCCAGGCTCAAGTGAGAAGGAAGACAATTAGCTTCACACTTCTCATATACTGGCCAAGCTTTTTCCCAATCTCAATTATTGCACAGAGTTCAAATCCCCATGTGCTAATGTTTGGGACGTGACATGTTAGTGTCTATTTTGGAAAGACGTGGATAGGCCATTCTTCCTATAGCATTTTCCAAAGTGGCACTGGCATATGGGCCCCTTTAGGGTTGGCTCATGATATACCGTAAACCCATTCCAATGGGTACACAAAGAAAAAAGAGCAGAATCAGAGCTGAGTTCCCCTTTAAAAGCCAAACACCTACATCTAGAAGGAGGCTCCCCTACCTGAGAGCCCTTGCCCTGTTGAGGTTCCCACTGTGGAAACCCTCAGGTCTCAAGGTTAGTTACAGGGCAGCCAGGTAGGATAAGGCTGGCTGTAGGTAACTGGAGGATGGGCAACATAGTAGTTGTTGAAGTTGCCATCACTGACATAAGGAGCTGGCTGGTAGTAACAGGTGACGTTGGTGGCATTGGGGATGATGTTTTGCTCTGCCAGCACGCGCAAGGCCAGGAGGGAAATGAGGTTCAGGGTCTGCCTTCGTTCGTGCCCCATGAGGCACACGGTGCTCTCATTCACCACCCTGCGAAGGATCATGAGGTAGTCGTATTTACTTCTCTCTTCTTCGGCAAAGTGGTTTTGAAGGTAGGTCTCCAGCTTCCTTTGCTGTTCGAGGATATCTGGGAAGTCGATGAAAAACCTGGAGCACATGTAACGCTCTAGAGTTTTGATTTCTTCCTGGTCTGTGGGCCTGAAGTCCCGCACAAGGAGGTTGCTGTACTTGAGAAGTCCCCCACCCCTAATTTCTTCAGGGTTCTTGGTGGCAATCAGTCTGTTCTGCAGATGGTCAAAGGCTTCCTCAAAGTCCCCATACATGCTCTCTCCAATCACTGTGGGGTGGAAGTGCTCAGAAATGGAGTTATTGGAGTCATCATAGAAAAAAAGCAAAGAATCCAGGATGATTTGAAAAGAGTCCACGCTAAACTCAAACTGGCGCCGGATGGAGTCAACGAATTTCAACTCCACATTCCTCCCGTTGTTGTTGGAGAGGGAGATCAGGCTCCAGCGGTCAGTGTCTGTGCAGACCTTCACCAGCTTCTGGACATAAGCCTCCTTAAGAGTGACTGGACTGATTTTGAGCTTGCTCACTCCCTCCGGCAGGAAGTTCAGAAGGGAACATAGAACCACATCTCTGACCAGTTGAAATTCTGCCTCTGTTGGAAGAGCCACGTGAAAGATGAGGTCCAGGTCTTTGCAACCCAAGCCGTTGTCTTTGACCAAGACGTGGCCAGCTGCAGAGCCATTCAGCCGGACATCCTCCACCTTGATGCCTGCCTCCTCCAGCCGGCTGCGGACAGTCTGAACAATGTCCTTCAGAGTTATCTCCAAGGTTGGAAAGTTGCCTCGTCCGTGGATTGGGACAACCTCAGTCAGGACCTCATGCAGCCGGCTAACCTGATCCCAGTTCAGCACGCTGAAGGACACGCACTCACTGGTACTGCTGCTCTCTTCTGCCATCTTGGGGGATGTTCTTGCCAGGGAAACTGAAAGTTGAGGGGGTAAGAAACAGAGTTAGGATTCACTTCTACACGGCAAAACAGCTCATGTGACTTAGAGAAGATGTTGATTTATCTCTGAACAATCTCCTTATAGAGTCGACTCTGACTCATGGAGACTCCATGTATGTCACAGCAGAACTGTGCTCCATAGAGTTTCCAATGACTGACTTTTGGGAAGTAGACCGGCAGGCCTTTCTTCCGAAGTATCTCTGGATGGATGCAGACCTCCAACCTTTTGGTTAGCAGCCAAGCATGGTAACCATTTGCACAACCTAAGAACTCCCGCTGTGAGGATTAAATGAGTTAAATACCTAAAGAATTGTGCAAAATGCATATAAACTTTTACTTTATATCAATTTTGATAACTTCATAGTTTTGCGGGAGCTTTTGGTATTTCATTTTTTTCCTTGTTTTGTTTACATAGGGGTGGGGGAAGTGAAGTGGGCATGGTTTGTGTTATGTAAGGAAGACAAACAAATTTAGACCAAGTAACCTAAACACAACATTAGCCAATAAAGGGCCCATATGTCTTGGCGCAGTGGGTAAGTGCTCAGCGGCTAACCAAGATTGGTGGTTCGAACCCACCACTTGCTCTGCAGGAGAAAGATGTGGCCGTCTAGTCCTATAAAGACTACAGCCTTGGAAACCCTATGGGGCAGTTCTACTCTGCCCAATAGGATTGCTATGAGTTGGAATTGTCTCGATGGCAATGGGTTTGTCTTTTTGGTTTATGTCTTGCTAATTTTCCCTGTTTCCTACAGAAATTACTTCCCCTGATTTTGGCTCCCAACCATATTTTGAACAGTTGACACTAACTAAGCTACAACATCTACACACAGAACACAAGACCCACAAAAAAAAGACTTGCTTCACTCCATGATTAAGAAATTCTCACCTCCGGGCTGCAGCCACACCAAGAAGCAGAGCAGACCACTCATGCTGCAGTAAAGCATGCTTAGGTCCTTTTAGCAAGAATTCATGTCCCTCACAGTCCTGCTCTCATGGAATTTACATTCTTGAGGAACAGAAAGCCAGTGGAAGGGTATAAGTAGGAGTGTGACTCTTTTTGCTGCAAGTGACGGAAGTCTAACGCCAACGTGGAAGAAGGAAATTTACCAAAGGCTTCTTGACTCAAACCTCCAGCTTTGCCATCAGGGAGGGACGAGAACTTGCTCTCCCTGGACTCGGAATAAACAACTAGGGGTAAGGCTCTCACTGGCCAACCTTGGTCAGGTACCATCTCTAGGTCTGTGCTGTGGCCAGGGGAAGAGACTGTGAGAGCTGGAGAAGGACCATTTTCCAGAAGGGGAGACAAAAAAAAAATTCACATTCCTTTCACTTACATGACCAGTCTGTCCTATAACAAACGCTTCCGTTATCCAGGATAGAGTTGTTTGTGTGACAAAATTCCTGGGCTAGGTAGTGGAAATGTCCTTCTCAGCAAGGATGCAGGAATGTGGGAAACTTCCTCAGGGCAGAGCGATCTTTCAACTGTATTTTGAAAAAATAGTACCTCGGAGCTACCTAAGGAGAATAAGGTTAAGACTGAGTCCTGAGGAAAAAAGCATCACTTCTCACACTTCACCTGCTACAACCACAAAGTCTCCAAGTTAATTTTCAAACAAGTTACACTTGTCAAAGAGTGGAACACAATAAATCCCCGGATCCATACGTAAAAAACAAACACTGACATTAAAAAGTCAAGGTGTTATAGATCCAGATGGGTTGATTATTAGCTAGATAGATGTAAAGAGGCGAAAGAAAAAGGTCAAGGCTCCATGCTTGCCAGGTCCCAGCTGCCTGCTGCTTTGCCCCTCAGCCCCACTGACAGCTAAATATCTTTCTGTTGGCTTATGGCCAACTTAAAAGAACATTTAAGGGAGTTTTCCCACCCTACTCTGACTTTCTGACTTGCTACACACACACAAAACCAATCCTAATGACTTCTGCAGTTTCATTGTTTGAAAGCTGCTGCTTTTGAACGCACACCCGGCATGCATTCTCCTGAGGCTCCGACTTGGATTTCTGGCCCTGCACTGGTGCCAGGGATCCTTGCTTTATCCACATCTCTCATATCCGTAGGATGGCTGTTAGTGCTGGGGCACTGCTGGGCACACAGAGACGGCTTCCCAGGAGCTCCCCATTAAGGAGGTGGGTGAAAACACAAGATGTCAAGAATACAAGGCAGTGTGTGGTGTATTCAGTCTGACTGGTACAAAGAAAACATAAAGGCAGAAAAAAGGGGTGTCCCTTGATTAGGGTAAACAGAAAGGACACAGAATGTTCACTTAAATGTTCACTTAACAGTTCCCTTAAGTTGGCCATAAGCCAACAGAAAGAAATTTAGCTGTCAGTGGGGCTGAGGGGCAGAAGCAGCAGGCAGCTGAGACCTGGCAAGATGTCCAGTCTGGCCACCATGATACTCTCCTCAAGCAGGTCATGAAGGTCCTTTAGTATCTAGGTTAAAACCAGGTGCCATCGAGTTGACTCCAACTCACGAAACCTCATGTGTGTCAGAGTAAAACTGTACTCCACAGGTTTTCAAGGCTATTTTTTCAGAAGTAGATCGCCAGGTCTTGCTTCCAAGGCACCTCTGGTGGACTCAAACCACCAACCTTTTGGTTAGCAGCCAAGTGCGTTAATCATTTCTACCACCAAGGAACTCCAATATCTAGGTTAAACCTGTTGCCGTTGAGTTGACTCTGACCCATGGTGACCCCATGTGTTATAGAGTAGAACCATCCCATAGGGTTTTCTTGGCTGTAATCTTTATGGAAGTAGATTGCTAGGGCTTTCTTCTGTTGCACTGCTGGGCCGGTTCGAACCGCCAGCCTTTAGGTTAGAAGTCTAGCACAAACCATTTGCACCACTGAGGGACTGTAAAGTTGCTTGGCTGGCAACAGAAGGTTGATCACATGATCAAAGCCAGCTGTAGGAAGGCCAGTCTGGGATGAGAGCTCCCCTACTTGCTACAGAAGAATACTTGTCACTGGGAAGAAAAAAGTTTCCCTTCAAACCTCTTGGATAGGGTTAAAAAGCCCTAGGCTATCTAGATCATTGCACAAAAGCTTTCTTTCCTAAGTTAAGCAGATCAAGTAAAATTGTGACAAAATAATTCATGTGGCTGGCATTTGGTTTCAAGTCAGGTTTGGCACATTAGAGTTTTCTTTTTCCTGTGCTCTACATATTCTTTGGTACTTCTTTCTGGCCTCTTTTATGATTAGCATATGGTGCTTCTGTGCTGACTGTATAAGGCTCTATACAATTAAATTCCAGTGATTACAGAAATTTAGCATTCTAGCTTTGTTTTGAAACACCGCCAGGTTATCTATGATTTGGTGACACAGATCTGTGTCAGGTATATTGATCCACCCTATGAAAAACAATTTGCTTTAGCCTATGAATCACCTGTTGTTGTGCTTTCATGGGGCTTGTTTACAATACAGATAGAAGAAGTCACACAACCATGGAAATCCCAATACAATCAGTACTTGGGATAGAATAACAATTTTGAGAAAATCTCCAGAAGCACCTCAATGATGTTGCAGAGGAGAGTAACTGTAGGGATAACTTTTAACTCTTCTGTTGTTGTTGTTATTGTTAAGAAAGTCATCTAAAGTTAAGAGTCTAGACTACTCCTACTTCTAGAACACCAGTTCCAGAGGAGGGGCATTGAAGACCATTTAGAATCTGATGAAAGCTACGACCCCTTCCCTTGGCAGGGGAGTACATATGCCTAATAATTTACGTATATTTTTAACCGTGAACTTTATGGTAGATTTAATGTGAGAATCTGACACTGAGAATTCTTAAGGTTTTATGTGGGGGGAGGGGCAGGAATGTTATTAAAAAAAAATAGAAGTGAGGTATACCAGCCCCATAAGAGATATTATGAAGCCACGATAATAGAAACAATGTGGTACTGGCACAAATGATAGACAAAATCAAATGAACAGAATTTTAAAATCTAGACATAAAACCAAATATATAAGAGGATTTAGTATATATTAAAGCAAGCATTTCAAAATAATGAAGGGAAAAAACTGAGACAAGTAGATAGTCATCTAGAGGGAAAAATCAAGTCGGCTCCCTATTTCATGCCCAACTAAGATCTAGATGAAGAAATTAAAGGTTTATGTATAAAAAGAAGAAACCATGAGCGTACTAAAAAAAAAAAAATGAAACTTATACATATATACACACACATAGAGTAGGCAGTCCTTTCTAAATTACATAAAGCCTAAAAGCCACAAAAAATGGACATATCTGATTATATAAAAATATCTACATGGTAAAAACACCAGAATGAAGTCAGAAGACAAAACTAGGAAAATATTTAACATCAGGCAAAGACTCATTTCCTTAATGAATAAAGAGCTCCTACCAATCTGAGAGACTAGAATCTCACCTACAAATCTGAGAGACTAGAATCCCGACAGAAGAATGGGCAAAGGACATGAATTCACACATACCATATTCAACCTTACTCAAGAGATGGGCAAATTAAACCTCAAAGTATCATTTTCCGCTATCGGATTGGACAAGATCAAAAAGTCCGACGGGCATCGCTTCTGGCAAATGCGTGGGGAGGGAGATATCTCTGGTACACTGCTGGAAGGCTCTCTATGGAGAACAATGTGAGACTCTCAATTTTAAGTGAACATACCCTTTGACGTAACAAATCTACTTCAGGGAAGTCTGTTGTTTAGTTGCCGTCAAGTCAATTCCAACTCATGGTGACCCCATTGTACAGAGTAGAACTGCTCCACAGAGTTTTCAAGGCTGTGACCTTTTGGAAGCAGATTGCCAGGACTCTTCCAAGGCACCTCTGGGTGGGTTTGAACTGCTAACCTTTTGGCTAGTAGTTGAATGCTTAATCATTTGTGCCAGTTTGGATTTTACCCCATGGATATACTTGCAAGTATGCACAAGAATATTCATTGGATAATTATTTATAAAGCTACAAAATATTCATTAGTAAAAGATGGTTAAGTGAATTGATACATCTGTAGAACAGACTACTACCCAGTTATCTAAAATAACAGTGGCAGCTCTCTCTGTCTGAATGTGGAATGCTCTTCAAGATTCATTAATAGAAAAGTAAACGCAAAACTGTATGTGAAAGCAAAAATCTATTCTTACACAAGCATATAAAATTCTCTGGCAGGACAGCAGTCTACACCAAATACCACGTCCAGGTTGGGCAACAGGGGAGGAAGAACACTTAATTTGTGCCTTTTGAATTTGGAAGCTATACATGCATTAATTGACAAAACTTAAAATTTCATGATCCATATTCTAAAATCTTTCCCCTATGAGCCTTCCACTCATTTGGAACTTTATTTAACTGCTTCAATCCTTTACCTTCCCTCCCAACCATGCCCGTAGCCATGTGCCAAAAATCAACTATACTTGGAAGCTTCCTCTCCAAGCCTTAAATGTTGATATCTGTATGGATGAGTGCAGGAGGTGGAACTGCTTTTCCTCTAGAAGGGCTGTTAGTCAATTTTCTACCCATGTACTACTTTAGAGAAGATGCCCAGGATTTAAACTGCCCTTCTGTAAAACAAAAAAACAACTCTTCAAATAATGGATAAGGCACCTCATCTATCCCATTCTGTTTGTTATCAAAAAAGTTATGTAACAGACATATTTACAACAACAACAACAAAAGAGTAGCAGTGGAAGCTGCTTTACATACAACCAAACACCTCATGGGATTTGGTTCCTGGTTTGAAGGTCATGGTTTCGTGGGACATCCCAGTTAGCTGGCCTAATAACGTGTTCACTGCTTCTGTTCTACCTCCCAGTTCATTGCATAGTGCCTGGGGTCTTAAACGTTTGCAAGCGGCTATTCAAAGGCACAACAATTGGTCTCTATTCTCCTAGAGTAAAAGAAGAAGGAGAGTGAGGAATAGGGGGAGGAGATGGAATGTGTAGTTAACTGCCTCCATAAACAACTGCCTCCTTTGCCATGAGACTAGAAGAACTGGAATGGTGCCCTGCTACCATTACTGAACATTTTGATCAAAGATTCTATAGAAGAATCCTGATCAACAGGAGGAAAATGCAGAACAGAATTTTAAATTCTCATGGACTCCAGACATTCTAGATGAACCCCTGAAACTATCACCCTGAGATAATCTTTAAACCTTAAACCAAAAATATCCCCTGAAGTCAACTTAAAACCAAACAATAGTTTAGCTTAACTAGTAAAAAAAAAAGTCAGCCTTCAGCGTTATGCTTTTTTAAGAACTATCTAAACGGGATAAAATTGTCAACACCAATTCCAAAGACTAGATAAGAACCTTAGTGGCCAGTGAGTTTATGTTAACAGGGGAGGAACAACTCAGAAAAGGAAGGTGAGAATGGTTGCATAACTTCAAGAATGAAATCAATGTCACTGAAATGTCCATGTAGAAACTGTTGAATTGGTGTATGTTTTGCTGCGTATATTCAACAACAAAATTAATTGAAAAAAAAAAAATTTCTTGCAGTTTTATAGATCTGCTATTTCTCATTTC